GATGAGTTGCATTGAAACTTAGCAAGTCCATTCATGAACCAATTTAGAGAGTTTGTTTTGAGCCTTATTTTGGTGAGTCTCTCTGGATCCTGACTAGTGAGTTTTGCTTATAAATCTCCTTTTAGGAGCATACAACCCAAGAGTATACAATACTAACTCAATTTTTTGGCATAAAAACATTTGATAAAATAGATCACCATATCGACATAAAGACATTTAACTAAAACGAAAATGAGAAAGTATATTTAACAATAGAGCAATTCAATATCATTAATTCTAAATGTCTAGATTCATCATGATTAAAGTATTATCATATGATACTTTAAGATCAGTTCATTCAAACCTATAGATAATAAAGATGCCAAATGGATCATCAAAACATTGAGAAAACATAAGGTCATTTCTATGCACATTTTAAAATTGACTAGACCATTAGAACCTTTTAGACTAAACAATAAAATGCTCAAGGTCATTCAAGATAACCTTATACTAAGTTAAAATCAGAGATAGAGACACAATTTAATGAAATTATACAACAACAACAAGTCTTTATCCCACTAAGTGGATCGGCTACATGAATCCTTTTTCCTCCATTGTGTCCTACGGGTCGGCAATCCTTTTTCTCCATTGCGTCCTACTAAGTGACATATTTTCATTTAATTTTAATAAATTAAGATCATTTTTCATACAATATGCCCAAGTTTTTTTGTGTCTACATATGTTTTTCTTAACATAAGTCGAATTTAAAACATCTACTCTCCTAACTAAATTATCAGATGATCTACGTTTAATGTGACCAAACCATCTACCCCTGGAGCCACCCCAACCATATCACGGATATATTCATTTTGTATTTTGTCTCCAAGTGTATAGCCACTCATCCACCTAAGCAATCTCATCTCGGCAACACTTAACTTAGTTTTATGCTTTTCTTTTAAAGGCCAACACTCTGCAACATAGAGCATTGCAGGTCTCACCACCATTTTATAATTTTTTCCTCTCAGTCTAAGCAGTATTTTTCTATCACACAACAGGGCAAAAGCATTCATGCACTTCAACCAACCAACTTGAATTCTACTAATAACATCCCCATCTATATCACCATCACTTTGAACAATAGACCCTAGATACCTAAAACGTTCACACCTTTTAAAAACTTGATCACTCATAGTTACAACTCTGTCAATAGAGCGAGTATTACTAAAATTACATTCCATGTATTCATCTTTAGTTCTACTCAAACAAAGGCCTTTGGACTCTAAAGTAGACCTCCATAATTTATGTTTTTCCTGAGCTCTTTCTCCAGTCTTATCCATAAGAAGGATATCATAAGCGAAAAGTATACACTAAGCTACATCCTCCTATAAATGTCTAGTAAGATAATCCATAACTAAAGCAAAAAGATATGGGCTAAAAGCAGATCCCTGATGTAATCCAACTAAAATAGGAAAATATTTAGTCAATCCTCCTTCTGTTAGAACACAAGCTTCTCCAGTCTTATCCATAAGAAGGATATCATAAGCGAAAAGTATACACTAAGCTACATCCTCCTATAAATGTCTAGTAAGATAATCCATAACTAAAGCAAAAAGATATGGGCTAAAAGCAGATCCCTGATGTAATCCAACTAAAATAGGAAAATATTTAGTCAATCCTCCTTCTGTTAGAACACAAGCAACAGCTCTAGTATACAAATCTTTAATGACTTGAATATAAATCATATCAACATCTTTCTTCTCTAAAACGTTCCAAATGACATCTCTTGGAACCTTATCGTAATCCTTTTCTAAATAAAAAATAATTCACATGTAGATCATCCTTATTCTCTGTGTACGTCTCCATCAAACCTCTGGATAAATTTATAGCTTTCACAATAGACCTGTCCGGCATAAATCCAAAATGATTATGAGAAATCTTTATAATGTCTTAATCTATGTTCAATTAACCTCTTCCATAATTTTAAAGTATGACGCATCTAACTTAATTCTTCTATAATTTGCACACTCTGGTGCATCCCTTTTATTCTAAAATGGGACCAAAATACTCTTCATCCACTCCTCAGGCATCCTTTTAGTTTTTAAACTAGTATTAAAGAGTTTAGTAAGCCAAGAAACTACCAAATCTCCTAAATATTTCCACACCTCAATTGGGATATCACTAAGTCCATTAAACTTTCCACGTTTGATTTTCTTTAAAGCATCCTCAACTCCCTTTTTACCAATGCGACCACAAAAATGAAACATTTTATTATCATCAACGATATTAAGATCAACAAGTTCGATCGTATTTTCATAAACTTCATTGAAAAGTTTATCAAAAAGCATAAAAGAAACTAATTCTAGTAAAATAAGTTGCCCTTAAGCAAAAGTCCAATAAGATTAATCTAAGGTATGGAATTCCTATTAGGGTAGTACGAGGACAAATAAAGGGCCATATGATAGAACAAGAAGCTTGAAAGAATAAGATCAATCCAATGTAGTTTAAGAAGATAAAAAAAAAATTAGAAGAAATTCAATAGCGATCTAGGGCTTCAAAGGCAAAGTTAGGCTAAGTCTACAGTCCTTGGTAGCTTGGTCAATTGCATGAGATGTCCGCCCAATGAAACCTACTTCTTGATTCATTATAGCAAAGGACATTAATAATATGATTGAGTTAAGCCTATAAAGCCAAGAGCCTACTTAACCTCCTTTAAAAATGAGTTCAATACCTTAAATAAAAGTATTATTCATTCAACATATTCGTAAAATATATATTTGATTATCTCATAAAACATCAACATGTGGCTACATAGTTTTATTCTACTATTATTTATATAATCATTAAAACAGCATGGTTCCTTCATATTATTCCTGAAATATCTTTTGTTTAATCATTTGCCATCACCAACATAACATTAAAATTCTATTAAAAGAAATGCTAATTAAAACACTTTAATATAACCTACAATTCCTCGTAATCCAATTGATATCTATATAAAAAATTTAATTTACTCCTCTTATTATAACTAACGACAATTCATTTAATATCATATGCTTTTTATTTTAATTATTATAATATTTCAAACATGAATTCTTTAATATTCTCATTAAAATAAAATAATGATGTCATCTTTCTTTAATATTCGATATTTTAATAGCGATCCGATTTACATAAATTTTAATGCATTTAATTTGATCAAAATCTTTAAATATCATCTTCTTCTTTCATGATTTTGTACATAAATGTAGCCCATTACAAAAATAAAAAAACCCTTGTTCTTAATTTTTTACAAGTCTTTTAACTTTATTATGATCAATAATATTAATTTCATATATAATTAATATCTTTAGTATATTTATTTTTTGGCACCCCAAAAACATGTATCAAAATTTCTTAAATAAGTCTGAGGCAAAGCTTTTTCTTTTTTTTTAATGAACAAATTCATGAAAAGCTATAACCTTGTTCGATACAAAAGGGAATCAGCAATTAATCTGCTTGCTTTATTTTCTTGTTAACAATGCATCACTATGAAGATAATTGATTCACTTGAAACATAAAGTGCTTAACACTAGAAACGTAATGGTTTCAATTACAATCTTACGAAACTGGAACTACAGGAACTGATTGCAATGGCACAATTTAAGAAATAGTGAATTAGGCTTTTTTTTTAATTAGTTAAAAAATATTTATAACAATATTTTAAAAGATATATTACCACAACTCAAACTGAGTAAAGATCAAATCAAAAAATTATTTGATTCAATTATAATGAAGTAAAAGGATAAACTGCGAGAGCTGAAAGTAGACAATGAAGTTGATCTACATTGGTTCAACCATCCCAATGTATACATGAACTACCTAAAATTATCTCAAGGTTTTTGCTCTTTAACAATCTCATATAGAGGAACCGCTTGTACAAACTCTCGATATAACAAACACATGAGTTCTTTCTAAAGCATCTCACAAATATCTCATTAAAAGGAATTTGCAAGGGGAACTAGAAGAAGATTTGAGGGAAAAAAAAAAGTGAACGATGCGCATCAATCTTCAACATTGAGCTGTTTCCATTTTCATGAGTTTCAAAATGGTCATCACAGAAAGCAAATTCCAAAAGGTCTCATTCGTTAGTTGATCGTATTGTACAATATACATTGAACCATATGATCAGATCATCTCTGAACAAATTGAGAATATTGTACCAAGCAGTAAATTTCCATATGGTAAGAACCATAGATGGATCTAATTAATTAATAATAACGCATTGAAATGGCTGAGTATGATAATAATTTGATACAATCCATAGCATAATCACATAATTTTGAATCAGCTTTGAATATGTCATGATCAACTTGCAAAAATAATTTGATACAATCCATAGCATAATCACATAATTCTTAATCAACAAGCTCTTTACCGCTACAAAATAAAACTAATACTAAAAAAAACGTTTCAGCTTTGAATATGTCATGATCAACTTGCAAGCACTCGAACTAGTTTGACCATCAACATTAATTTTGAATCAATTTATATTTTCAGTTTTATTGCTTACTTTTTCCTGAATTTCTTAAAAAAAGTATTAACCTTATCAAATTAAATTTATGTTCATCAAAATTTTATTAGTCACTAAAGCTCATGAAGATAAGCAGGCTTTTTTTGGCACATTAAAAATTCAGATGAGGAATCAGAGAAAATCTCAAATATTGCAAAAACTAGAGAGCAGTAATAATATATTGATCAAACCTTTATGCAGTCGACTAGAACGGGAAGATTTTAACTAAATGAGATTTGTGTATCTTTGTTCCATCCATAGCAAGTAAAATGATGATGCAATATTGGTTCACCTGAAAGAGACCTTCATGATTGGATTATTGGAGACTACAGTTGCCTCCAAGAAATAGATTAGAGACAAACCGCCATTGATGGAGAAGGCCAACACCATCGTCACCATCTCCACCACTATCATCTTTGCTCACCTCACTTATCAACCTCCATTATTGTTGCTTCTACCTTTCTCTTACCAGCTTTCATGGCCAACACCGGATTCATTCCTCTCTTGCTCATAGCCTCTAATGCATTATGTACCTACATTTATGCCTTCTCCATCGTGTTGTTGTTCAGATCTTTGAATTTCAGCCATTCGATGAGTCTCATGTATCTTGTTCTCGAATGCTATGGCAAAGGAAAGTGTTGAGAGTCATATTTTTTATGTTGGAGATTAAGGTGAAAATCAGAAATTGGGTTAATAAGTAAAAATTTAGTATGTAAAACTAAAATAAAGAACATTCAGGTATTAAACATACCTAATTTGAATTTTCTTCTTTGGAAAATTTAAATAAAGGATTACTTTAGAAATGAACATTTAATTCTTTGCCAACAAAGATCAATTGATTAGTAACATATATAGGACCGCTTTGCAATTAGTAAACAGACATAATATCACTCCACAGCTAGAAATTTTTTAGTCATACAGACTGGCATCTGAAAGAGAGAAAAGAATATAAAGACTTTGAAGCATTAAAAATTAAAAATATTTATGCTGGCATAAAACCAATAAACTGAACAGAGTGATCTGTGCAGGAGAAAACGAATAGAAGTGCTAGCTGAGAGAAAGACTAACATAACATAGAGTTTCAAATGACAAGCCATATAACAGTTCTTGAAGCACACATCTTTCTAGTGCAATCCAAATGAATTTAAAAAGCATCATGTGAAACAAATCAAAGACTAATCTAACATCATTTCATGGTGCTAATAATACAAGCTCCTAAACATAAAAGCAATATCACCAGAATTCCATGGGTTAAGCTGAAAAGCCTCGCAACAACCGGAAATGCTTTATCGCAGGTGATGCTGCCTTGAAAGCCCTCCTGCCCTTCTTCAGAGAGCTGCCTTTAACCTTAATCTTCTTTACCGTTGGAGGGCTTTCTCTAATGGGACCAGGAGATAATCCTTTCTTTAATGCACTACCTCTAGGAGTAACTGAAGGAGGAAGCCTCAAGTTTTGAGGAGGCAATGGATTTTGAGGCTTCCATATCAAATTTTTATTCATAGAGAACCTGACTTTTTTAACATTTTTCTCACCATTTTTCCCATTCTCACTCCCCAAATCAACATTTTCAGATTTTAAAAACAGCTTCTTATTGTCAGCGTTCATTTCCCTTTTCCTCTTTTTTGACACTTTAGGAATGCTTCCACTGGTCATACCAGCTTCAGCAGCCACTTTCTCAAATTGCTTCTGAAGATTGGAAAGTAATGTGTCATCAAAACAAATAATATCATTGTTGTCAGAGGAGACCAAATTACTATTTTCATGGTTGCAAATAGGACGTGAATCATGAATTGTTGCTTCAGTGCCAGTGCCTTCAACAGATAAATCTACCAATTTTTTTTTCTTCTTCTTGCTCCTGCTCATTTCTTCCAAGTCCACACCATTACTTTTAGTGGATGAACTCAAAGTCTTCTTCTTCTTGATCATACTATTCGTCTCAGTTCTATCTAATGGTTCGTTGGCCTTCTTCTTCTTCTTTTTCTTCGCCTCAATTGGACCATTATCGCTACAACTATTAGCGTTAAGGACCTGAGTAGTTTCCATATCACATTCACATTCTGGTACAGACCTACCATTATCCAATGGCTTCAAGGAGATATCAAGACCAGATTTCTCAAGCTCCTTATCTAATTTAAGATACCTTTCATGTAAATCAAACAAAACTTTCCTATTACCCTGCTGCGTCTCAGTAGCAGAAGCCAAAGTTAGGAATTTCTTTGAAAACCCCATTAACAAGGCAATCTTCCCAAATTTCTCAACGTCACTACCCCCGTCCACATTAGATAAGAGATTTGAACCATTAACTGCCCAACGATCAAAGATGTTGACTTTGATCTTGTTCACTAAAACCTTGTCGGTTGTTGTCTGCATAGCTAAAAAGAAAGGGTTCAGGAGTAAATCTACAATTTCCTTTTCCAGCGGGAGAAATTCAGCAATCTCGTCGAGAAAAATCTCGGCGATATGGTAGTTCACGCCTGCAGCAGGGAACTTGTCGACAGAAAGCAGGGAACCCTGCGAAAGTATGTCTGCAATCCGAGCTGTAAGTTCAATATTCCAAGAGTTGTTCCTGAGGACAACAAGGACATGGCGGAGAAATCTGCGGATGAGTAGATAGAACTTATCAAGGCGGAGGAAGTCGATACCGGACCACTCACGGCGGATCGTAATCAGAAAAGACTCAAGGTAACGACCAGCGAGCTGAGGAGGAAGTGATGAGAGGAGAGCGGCGAGACGATTGATGAGCTCAACCTGGTTAGCCAGCCTGTCAGAGTGCCACACGCAGAAGAAGAGGCCCTTCCAGATCTTTATGAGCTCGGAATCCGACACGCCGGATGCGGAGGAGGGATCGCCGTTTCGTTTTGGAAGCCATGAGCAAAGGAGAAGGACGGCACGATTGCGTGAGGATTGCTTGCAGGAGGCCAGCCGCTTTGCTATGGACGCACCGTCAATATCTGCCAGCTCCATAAGCCCGAGGACGCTAGTCTGGAACGAGGCAAAGATGCAACCAAGAGACGGATTTTAGAAAAACCCTAGACGATCATTTTCGAGCGAAACGAAAGCTGTTGTCCGAACTCCTATGATGAACGAAACCGGGATAATTACAAACAGACCACCGGAAACATAATAGCTATTTTCAAAATAAAGTGATTTTTTTTTATCAAATTATGAATAATTTGATAAAAAAAATAAAATATATGAGTTGGGATTTTATCATGAATTTTAATATTCAAGTGAAAATTTGAAAAATGGATCTAAAAGGTCATTGACACGTTTCGGATGGTTTTTATGTAATTTCTCTTAATTTAATTGGGGAACATGTTGTGGTAATTAGGGCTACAAATGTGTTTCTGGATTACTCAATTAGAAATTTTTTTTAATTAGTTAATTAATTTAAATTTTATAAGGCATTTTTTTCATAAAATGTTTTCTTATGTATATACTTTATATTTTTTTATTAAAAATAAATCTATTAATTTTTAAAATACAAAAAAAAATTTGCATATTTTGAACGAATTTTAAAAATTATTATTAATGCGCTAGACACGTAGGGCTTGTTACTCGTTCTTTTTTTTTCTCTTTTTCCTTCTCCTTTTTAGTTTGAGCTCTTGCTCGAAATGAGTCATGAATAATTTATTTATGTTTAACTAGATTCAAACTCGAATATACAAATTAAGTTTGTGTTCAGCTCAAATTGGAGAAAAATTATTTCAAACGGATCGGACAATATGCATCTTGCATGCGGTGTCCGATCATGACCGTAAATCAGGTGATCTACGGTCAGGATGTATTTCGGTGGGCCCCCACCTAAATTTAAAAAAAAAAATAGAAATAATCCTGACCGTAGATCACGGTGATCTACGGTCAGGATCGGACACTACATGCAAAGATACATACGGAGTTCGTATGCAATAATTTCTCCAAATTGAAACACAGTTTTAAGCAAGCCACGCAACTTTTTTGGTTCAAAAGAAGAATTTCCGTACAATAAATACTTCTAAGATTATAGGGTAGCATATTCTAGAGATGCGGGACTAAAAAATAGGAGAAAATGGGACCATTGTTTTCTCTATGTTTTCTGGGCATTCAAGACATACCAGCTAATTCTCTCGATGTATTTACGTATATAACACCAAAGCCAACATAACAGAAATCATGGGGACCATGAGAATTGACATGGATTCAGCTCAGCTTTGATTTTTTTATTGAACATATCTGCCAAACCTATGTATTTACATATCTAACACCCAAACTTTACTTTTTACATTTATACTACCTGAATCTTTCATAGATAATATTTTTAAAGGGTTTTTTGCATAAAGAGGACTCAAATCATGCAATTTATGGGTAAAGACTACCAAACATTTAATTTACTCGTGAAGGACTCCATCGCAACTTCTTTGTCGGCTTTCCGGTCTCTAGTTCAACAATTCTCGTCTCCGTATTCGGTGACGGAAACCCCGCCATAACGTACCTTCAGCTCTCCTCCGCCAAATCCGTTGACACTTTGATCCTCGTCAATTCTATAAACCCGTTCCCCTGCCGAAGCTCCCCCTTCTCCCGCTCTCACAAATCCCACAGCTAGGCCCTCCTCCCTCTCTGCTCCCATCTGCTCACCCCAGCCACAAACCTAACCCCTCTCTATCCACGCCGTAAACCCCCCCTCATCGACGACCATCTCTAGTGTGAATCGTACATACTCCTCCTCTATCTCTCTGCTCCTCTCTCACCGGCAGCAAAATCTCCTGGCTCTCTTGGTCGCAGACGTGGAACATCGGACCGTGAAGATAAAGGTCCCTGCTGCTCCATCGCCCTAAATCCTAACGACAGAGAAATGATGGAGGAGCCGGCAACAACGTCGTGACGGAGTCCTTCGCTGTTTGGGAAACTTTTCAGGCAAATTGTATAGTTTGAGGACCTCTATACGTAAAATCCACTTTTAAAATGCAGTAAATAAAAATAATATTAGAAGAATACAAACAAATATTAGTATTTAATCATAAAATTAATTCGAACGAAAACGTGTTGAATGCCAATGAACAAATATTTGTTTGTATTCGGCTCATTTATAAATAGAGCTAAAAAAATAAATAAATAAATAAACGTTACCTCGAAGATGCTAAAATCTATAAGTGATAAGATATCTAGTCTTATTTTAGAAAATTTTATACAACTTTTTGGGTGCCAAAAAATAAATATAAAAGGGATATAAATTATATAAATAATAATTATTATTAAGGGCATGCTAGGAGCCGCTTTTTTCGCACAGCGCAGCCCCAAACGGCGAATTTTTTTTTTTTTGTTTGAATCTCACGTTCGTGGTCACTCGCCGCAAATTAGAAGGAACGCAGGGTCGGGGGATCGGCCTTTACCGATCAAATATTTCCCTTGAGCCCCGCGTATCGTGAAGCCTGCCTCTTCCCTAGCATCTTGCCAAGCAAAAGAAGATGAATCTTCTGCCTTAACGTCTTGTCTCACGAAGCCTCCCGTTTGCTGCTCCTGATCGTCTCGTGAAGCCCCCTACGTTCCCTCGAAGCCAACCCGTCTGCTGCTTCCTGCTTCCACTGTTGCTTGAAGCTTGTTCTCCCTTGAAGCCTGTGCTCGGTAAGTGTTGTTCTCTGTCACTTGAAGTTGTATCTTCAATTGTTTTTCCCAATTTTGTGGAAGGATTTTCATTGGTGTATGGTTTTGCTTGAATTTATTTTTGTATTGGGTGATGCTAATGAAATTCATCATGGAAGATGATCTATGCCCCTCTTCAGGTTGAGTAGCAGCTTGGACGGCTAATGTATGTGTGTGTAATATTTCCATTCCTTGCATCTTACATCAGTGTTGGAGAATGGTAGGTGCTTGTGCTCACATATTTGAATTTCGCTACTTTCAGGAAAGATGAGCTCCAGAATTTTAAGGACGTCATGAAGATTGTTATGCCACTGCGGACTAGTGACTTCTTTTCTAAGGTCACATCAGTCTCATAGCTACGGTCGACAGTTTTACAGATGCATACGGAGCCTCGCAGAAAAGTGTGACTTCTTTCGATGGACTGAATGTAAGGTTGATTCCACTGCCGAAAGTGACCACAAATTGATAGCATCAATGAAGGATAATTAAGGACGAAACATATATCGTTTTCATGTTAAAAGTAATATCATCATTATTTTACTTGTAATATTTTTAGATTTTATTTTCTCTTTAGCACTTTCGGTACTCACTGTTAAGTGAGTTATGTATCTGAACTTTTGTTCTATTTTGAAATGAATTTTTGCTTCTGAAGTAGCAAATATGTGGCTGTCATAGTTCTGTTTTAAATAGGTTTACTAAACAGGGGCAGAATAGTCATTTTTCTAAAAACAGCTGTCTCACATCTGTTTTCACACAGCTGCAACAACAGACAGTCGACTTCCCCGCAGCAGCTTCCTGGGGCATCGCAACTAGCTGAAAAGTTGAGACCCCAAAGAGAACTAACACTTACAATTATAATAATAATGTTAAAAGACCTGTAAAGAACTATGAGCAAAGATTGAATTTTTTATTTTAAAATTATGCACAAAATCATCATGGAAAAAGATGATATTTAAAATTTTTAATCAAATTAAATACATTAAAAGTTTTGTTAATATGATCATTATTAAAATATCGAACTTTAAGACAAGATAACATCATTATTTTTGGAATATTATAATAAATAAAATAAAAAGCAAATGTTATAATGATCTGGTATAAACGAATTCTAGTTAATTATAATAAGAGAAGTAAATTAAACTTTTTATATATATGTCAATTGGGTTATGAGGAATTGTGGGTTATATTGAAGTATTTTAAATAAGATTTTTTTAAATAAAATTTTAAGGGTTATGATGATGATGGCAAAGGATTCAACAAGAAATATTTTAGGAACAATATGAAGGAACCATGTGGTTTTAATGATTATGCAAATAATAGCGGAATAAAACTAGCAGGTTCCACACTAATGCTTTATGGTATGATTGATTATAAATATTAAGAATATTTTGAAAAAATAATAATTGTATTCAAGGTATTAACCTCATTTTTAAAGCAGATTAAGGGTCTGTTTGGGACAGCTGCAGCTTATTGGATAATCTGATGATAAGCCGATTAAAAATAATTTGCTGATAAGTTAGGTGCCACAAATTTTTATTTTTTTGGAAAAGCCAGACCGCAGCCAGAAAGCTGCCACCGCACCCAGACAAATGCGGTGTGAAAACGGTGTTTTCAGCATTTTGAAAACGCATAAGCTGTCAAAACGCAGTTTACCCAAACAGGTCAGGTGTGTTTTCAAAACGTCATCGCACCAAATAAGCTGCCCCAAATGGACCCTAAGTAGGCTCTTGGCTTCATAGGCTTAACTCAATCCATATAATCATGTCCTTTGTTATAATGAATCAAGAAACCAAGAGGTTTCATTGGGCGGACATCTCAGGCCATGGACAGAGCCAGGTGCTCAGGATTTTAGACTTAACCCAACTTGGCCTTTGGAAGCCCTAGATCGCCATTGAATTTCACATATTTTTTTAATCTTTTTAAAGTACATTGGATTGATCTATCATATGGCCCTTTATTTTTCCTCATAATGCCATGATATTAATTACATACGTTAGATTAGCCGTATTGAACTTTAACTTAAGGTCAACTTATTTTACTTGAACTGTCTTTTCAATTTCATTAAATTGTGTCCCAATATTTGACTTGAACGTGGTATGAGGATATCCTAAATGAATCTGACCATTCTACTGCTTAATCTAAAGGGTTTTAATGGTCTAGTTAAGTCTAAAATGTCCACATATACATGTCCATATCTATATTGTTCGGGACTGTTATCTATATTCTTAATATTTATTCTTAAGAATTAATAATAATTCAAATCGTATATTAGTATGTATGGACTTCCTCCAACAACATACTATAACATTTACACACAAAAACATAAACATAGATAATTATACACTACCACGCAATACGGTTTCATAGCTACATTACCATAGAAAAATATGTCCCTACCTACGAACTTATTCCGATACATAATTTATGCGATACAGGTAGCGATATAACTGTATGCAAAAAATTAATAATCCCGCCACAAATACCAACCCACTTCGAACAATTATTGCTCGAAACATTTAATGGTCTCTGACAATAAATCAATATTGGATCAACCAATTCTTTATCATTTAATATGTTGTACTAAAAATACACAAATTATGGTGCCTACCCAAATTAATCTTAGGAAATAATTTCTTTAAAACATTTTCTTCATTTACACAAACTGAAAATAAAATCATATTGGTCACCCCCAATGGTAGTTCGCTCCACTGTCCTATCATTAAAACACCGCAATCTCATTCCACCACACCTATTTTTCACAGCTAGCATGGTGATTACCCCCTTGACCAAAACATGAAAAATGCTTTTCCTCATTTATTTAATATTATTTAGGAATAAATGTTATAACCTCCCCTGAAACTTTTAAACTTACTTAGCTTCATTCATTTGCAAGTTCACTATTTAAACCATCACTTTCTGAGAATCTCTGAAAATTTTGGAAACAAGACGAACCTCTGGCTATAGTTGAGTCAATTAACCCTACACTTATTATAAAAGTTAGGCCAATGAAGTATACTTCTAAAGATAAAAAAGAATTTCAAGTCCAAATACAAGAATTATTACATCTTAAATTAATTGAACCAAACAATAGTTCACATAGTAGCCCTGCGTTCCTAGTTAGAAATCATGTCGAACAAATTAGAAGAAAAGCAAGCTTAGTGATTAATTACAAGAAACTTACTAATAACACTAAATTTGATGACTACTTCTTACCGAACAAAGAAATATTAATTAATCATATTTAAACAATCAAATGGTTCTCTAAATTTATTGTAAATCTAGATTTTTGCAGATAATGATGCATCCAAATAGTAGAGAATTTACTGCATTTAGTACACCACAAGGATATTATCAATGGAATGAAATGTCTTTCAGATTAAAAAATGCATCACAAATATTCCAAAGACGAATGAATACTATTTTCCAAGAATTTATCACATTTCTGTCTCATATATGTAGATGATATATTGATATTTAGTCAAAGCATTACCGAACATTTGAAACACTTGACATTGTTTTCTCATGAAGCTCAAAAACATGGGATGACTTTAAGTAAGAAAAAAGCTGTAACAAATACTATTGAATTCCTAGGACTTATAATAAATAAAATATCAATCAAAATGCAAGAATAATCTTAACAAAAATAAACCATTCTAAAAAAATAAATAACAGAAAGATTTGCAGTGGTTTCTAGGATGTATTAATTATACAGAAGCGTTTGTTAAAAATCTCACAGAATTAAACGCCCCTCTGCAAAGAAATTGAAAAAGAATGTATCTTGGTATTGGGATGAGAAAGACGAAAATCCTTATATCTAATCAAAGAACTATGTAAAAACTTCCAAAATTACATTTATCAATACTTAGAGATTACTTAATTATAGAAACATATAGTTCTGAGATACCATTGGGAGCAATTTTAAAAGCCAGACGTAATAATACTGAACTCCCATGTAGATATAGTTTAGGAGCATACACCCCACCGAACAGAATTATCATATTAATGAAAAAGAATTATTAACAATAAAGAAAATAATAAAAAATTTTGAAATATTTCTACATGAAACATTTTTAATTAGAACAGATAATAAAACAACAATTCTATTCATTGAAGGTAAAATTGTAGACTCTTTACCAAATAAAAGAATAATTAGATGACAAAGTTGGTTTTCTGCTTATACTTTTGATGTAGAATACATTGAAGGGAATACAAATGATTTGGCTGATATACTAATAAGAGAATTGTGCCGAAAATAAATATTGATATTGAAAGTATGAAGACATATGAAATAATCAGTGAGACTGAAGAAAACTCGAATGCAGAATTAAATAATTACTTAGAGATTGAAAATTAGAATGTGAGATTGCTCTTGTCGTCAACGTTCTAAAGGAATTAAGAAAAATAAGTAATTCTCTGATAGGAGAAATACCAAAAGAAGATCTACCTTCAATCTCAAAATTAAGAAAAATAAGAGATTTTGCAAATCTCCAAATTACAAGGGAAGAATCCAAAGAAAAAGAGTCGTCATTAAAAAATGAATTACAAGAATCTACTACAAAAGAAGATCATCTTTAGGAAAGATGCTTACTTATGCCAAAATATTGCAGGATTCTTCTACTAAAAAAAATAACGGACATCATTGAATAATGACAACAACTATTTCTTTTTGAAGAAAGAATTAACCCACAAATCTATTTCCATATAGTAGGAAAATACCAGGTTGTTTATATTTATGGAAATAGTGATCCAAAACTCGTCTCAGAATTATATAAATGCGGATTAATTAGTGTTATGAATTTAAAAGATGAAAGTTTTCTCAAAGAATTACATAAACCTATATTTGATGTTGTAGATACTTTCCATCAAGTAGTTAAGCATTGGAATTTATATATTAAACTTCATCAAACTTATCGCAAATTAAGAAGATTTGTTTCTCTTATACAACTCATAATTAGCAGTGAACCATACACTCCTAAAAATAAACTTTAAGAATTATTCCAAAGATCAACTGTTGAAACAAAGAAAATAGATGCAACTAATATTTGGGTTTAATATTGTTTAGAGAAACTATTTATTTAGAACCAATGTAAACAACTTACAAAGAAAATGCACGAAATAATGTATAACAAAATGGATTTCTACCCTCATTAGAAACAATACAACTATAAGTAAAGAAGTGAAATAAATATTTTGTCAACAATTACAGAAAAAATACACAAATGTACATATTGTCAAAGAAAGATACTCTGCAGGGAGTACGTGAGAAACTCAATGTAAGAAATAATGGAATACAACTGTAAAAATAAAAGCATCTAGACATACCAACAACTACTAAGGAATATTCCCAAAATTGTCTTCCACCATCGACAATATCGTACAATTATTGAAGGAAACAAATCATTATGTTTTATTCTTCCAATTTGTTTAAATAAATGTTTTATTTTTATTTTTATTTTATCCTCTCTAGCTATGCATAGTGTAGGAAACAAACTAATATTGTGCATTGAATTCTAAAGTACTTACATAAGGTTGTGCTCTATGAAGGACCCGAGAGGTCTCGTTGAGCCTTAACTTTCTCTAGAAATCCTCAGAGAAAGGTGTAAGATGAATCAGAGGTTTTAAGGTCAAACCCTAGAGTAGGTAGCATCAAAATAAGTTAACATCACTTTAAACCCTCAAGCGGAAGCATAATGGACCCTAATATTTTAGAACAAGCTATAGGCGGAAGAGTAGAAAGAATTCCTTAAGCATGAAAAATGATATAAAAAAATAGAAGTAGGAATAAGAAAATTAAAGAAAAAAGTATAAAATGATATTAGAGAATTAGAAGAATTATCATATAGATTAAAAAATAAACTATCTTTGGAGAATTGTCGTGAGTTCAAATCATTAAAAATATATGAAACGTCTATACCATCAGAGACCTATAAAATGATATCAAAGCCTGACGATAGAAAGGTTGATACATATACATGTTGAAAACATATTAATTGCTTCTGTACGCCTTCATGGACTTATGCATCTAATTTTTCTTCTTATGAATCTCAAATGAGAGAAGAAAAAGAGCTAAAAAGGTAATTACTTCTAGAAGAACTTAGAGAAAGTATTTATGACAAATTCAATGTTGAATAAATTCTATCTCAAACAAAAATTTAATAAAATTTGTGAATTGCTTCAAATAAATTTAAAAAATAAATAATTAGAAGTATTTAAAAAAGAACAAATCTTTCATATAAAATCTTCATTAAGAAATTCAAATGAGGGATTATAATAAGTTACATGATTTTGAGACCACAAGTTGAATTAGGACTATACTCAGAAATTATATCCAATGAAATGGTTAGTATATGGAATTAAACCAAAACCAGTTAGAAAAATCAAACTTCTCAAAAATATAATCCAATCTAGATATAAAAAGTTTTCAAATACAGAATTTACTTCTAATATACATGAATTAGGGATAAAATTTATTAAAAACCAGCAAGTACTAAATAGTAATATAGCTACTGTTGTTATTCTTGCTGAACGTTGTAATCTAGAAAAATTCACAGCCAACCCAGAAATTTTAGGATGGACAAATAAATATTGCTCTTCAGGAAATATACAAGGAGCCATATGTATCAATGAAATTATTTCATTAGATGATCCATCTCCTTCCGAGAATGAGATAAAAGAATTAATTAATGTTTTAATTGAACATCAATTCATGACTACTCTTGTTAATTACCCATCAATTAATACTCCTTCCTCATCCAATAATTGCATTATAGGATTGCCTTCTTCATTAAATACAAATGAGGCTAATACAAGTCAAAATACAAGACCTTATATTCGTTACTTGCCTCTTAGCATTAAACGTATTTCTATGTTTAAATATAATAAAACAGAAACTAAAAATCAAGACAGTATACCTGAATTTATAAGCGGACGTGATATTTATTTAAACATTAATTGCATTAAAAATATTAATGAAATAATTGATAAATTGGTAATAGAAAATAGTCTAGTTATATATAACTATAATCTAAAAGGAGTTGTTTTTGGATTCTTATAAAATATGCTTATTGGAATTGTCAAAAAAGGGTTTATTGGACTAAAAGATGATCAAAAGCAAAATATTTGAGAAACTTATTTAGGAGAGAGAATTACGGGTACACTTGACAAATGACCAATTATTTATGGAGATTATATAAAAAGTAAATTTTTAGGATATAAAACTAGATATAACACCGAAGCAGAAATCATCAATTTGATTTATCAAAATAAAAGATAAAAACACTAAGCATCAACAATATATGTTATTTTTATGACATTTCAGTCGATGACAGATTATTATATTTATAAATGTACTTTTACAAATTACATGAACCATATAATATTATATGGAGCCAAGAATTCACAAAATAACATCAAAATGACATAACTTTAGGAAGTCAAATACAATATGTTTAGAAAAATTAGCTGAAGCATGCCAGCATATAGATTTACATAAACAAAATAAATAATATAAACAATCACTATGCTGTGAAAAAACAGACTTAGTAGCTTAGCAATGGGGCTGCTCTTCCTCCCATAATAATTGTAGTTGCTCTGCAAAACATAAAAAGAAAAAGTTCTTAAAGAAAATACAGAAAAAACAATTTAATTCTAATAAGAGAACTTTTAGAAAAAAGAAAAATAATAGTAATATGAATATTAAGAAAAATAAATGTTGGATTCGTAAAGAGGAAGGACACTACACGAACAAATGTCCCCAAAGAAATAATGTAAACCATATGAAATACGTAGTTGTTATAGAAGAAAATAACTTAGAACCTATTTTTAATTTCTTTAATATAGATAGTGAAGAAGAAATATACCGATTATCAAACACAGAAGATAATTTAATAAATATAAGTTACTCAAATAATGAGATAGATGAATATTTATACTCTAACTAATGAAGATGACCTTGACTCGGATATAATTAAAGATAATTCTATCGAATATGAAAGACATATTACATTATTTGAAGAAAATTATAATAAAATACGAAAAATAAAATTATCCTTATGAACAAAACACTGCTTTGAAATATTAATTTTCCTATGGAAAAGAAGTATATATTATAGTATTCAACAAGATGAACATCTTATTTATATAATAAATATAGAAGGAAGAACTCAAATACCTCTTATAATCAACAAATAAAAAGACGGGATAAAAAACCCAGAAAAATATAAACATATCTTTTTTGGAGAAATCCAAATTTTAATTAAGGCATACATTTGTAAAGGAATTGATAGTCCTATAACTATCTGGATATACGATGACATAATTATACATTCTAAAAAAGATGTCTTATTAGGAGTTATACAAAGAAACTTATGCTATCAAATCTTAATGTTTAACTTACACCCTAGTTATGCTGCTAATATCAATGATCGACATCTAGATAGATCCCTTTTATAGGCCTTCAATGGTGTAGACGTTTCAGTTATTTTTAATGATTTGGACTCAGGGAAATTCTCCAAAGATTGTTTATTTTTTAATCTATACGATAATTCTTCTAATTCTCTAATATCATTTCTTACTTTTTTCTTTAATTTTCTTATTCCTACTTTTAGTTTTTCTATATCATTTTCCATGATTAAAGAATTCTTCCTACTCTTCCGCCTAGAGTTTGTTCTAAATTAATAGGGTTCATTGTGCTTCCGCTTGAGGGTTTAAAGTAATGTTATCTTATTTTGATGTTACCTACTCTAGGGTTTAACCTTAAAACCTCTTATTCATCTTACACATTTCTTTGTGGATTTCTAGAGAAAGTTAAGGCTCAACAAGACCTCCCAGGTCCTTCACAGAGCACAACCTTATGTAAGTACTTCAGAGATTCAAAACACAGTTTTAGTTCATTTCCTACACTATGCGTAGCTAGAGAGGATAAAATAAAAATAAAAATAAAACAATTATTTAAATAAATTAGAAGAACAAAACATAATAGCCCATGGTATTTTAAAACAAACTTATAGACATGGAGTAGGAAGATCTTATTTAGCTGTAGTGGCCAATAGACATAATTAGATTACAACTAGAGAGAAAGAAGAAGAAGAGAAATAAAAGGAAGAAGAAGAGAGATGCCCCATTTTTCTACCAACATGCTCTATTTATAGATCGATGGCTCTTGTCTTCATAATTGCTAGTGCAGAGAATAAGTTGAGCTGGAAAAGAAGCTCCAACCAATAATTGTACTGCTTTTGAATAATTGTTCTGAAAAGGTGGTGGATGCTTATGTGGCATAGATAATGGTCTGCTAAGAATAATTTGAGTTGGTAGATGCTTCAATAATTGTACTGCATTATCGACGGTGAAGGATAATTCTAGGAATATTCATTCGTAGTTGTCAGTACGTCTAGATGTTTTTACCTTTACAACAATATTCTATTATTTCTTGCTTCGAGTTTGTCACGTACTCCTTACAGAGTATCTTTCTTCTAACAATATGTACATTTCTGTATTTTTTCTTTCTGTAATTTTTTACAAAATATTTCTTTCACTTCTTTACTTACAGCTACACATTTCTAATGAAGGTAGAAGTCCATTTTTTATATAGTATTTCGTGCATTTTCTTTGTAGTTTGTTTACATGGTTGTAAATAAATAGCTGCTCTGAGCAATAGTATACCCAGATGTTAGTTGCATCCATTTTCTTTGTTTCATTCCATATATGATCTAAATCTTCACTAATTAATCTTTGAAATAATTCTGAAGGTTTATATTTAGAAGTGTACGGTTCACAATTGATTCCGAGTTATAAAAGAAATAATAATTCTGAAGGTTTATATTTAGAAGTGTACGGTTCGCAATTGATTCCGAGTTATAAAAGAAATAACTCCTCTTAATTCGATATAAGTTTGATGAAGTGTAATATATAAATTTCAATGCTTAACTACTTGATGGAAAGTATCTACAACATCAAATATAGATTTAACTAATTCTTTGAGAAGACTTCTGTCTTCTAAATATATAATTCAAATTAATCCACATTTATATAATTCTGAAATGAGTTTTGGATCAGTGTTTTCATAAATATAAACAACCTGATATTTTTCTGTTGTATGTAAATAGATTTGCGGGTTAATTCTTTTTTAAAAAGAGATATTTGTTGTCATTCTTCAGCGATGTCCGTTATTTTCTTAGTAGAAGTATCATGTAATATTTTGACACAAGTAAGCATCTTTTCTAAAGATGGTTCTTCTTTTGTACTAGATTCTTGTAATTCATTTTTTAATGAAGGCTCTTTTTCTTTGAATATTTTCCTTGTAATTGAGAGATTTGCAAAATCTCTTATTTTTTCTTAATTCTGAGATTGAAGGTAGATCTTCTTCTATGTATTTCTCATGTCAGATAATTCTTTATTTTTTTAATTCCTTTAGGATGTTACTGACAAGAGCAATCTCACATTCTAATTTCCATATTTGTAGATCAACAATCTCCAAGTAATTATTTAAGTATGCACTTGACTTTTCTTCAGTCTCGCTGGTTATTTCATATGTCTCTATACTTTCAATATTCATATTTCTTTCCCGCATAATTCTCTTTTTAGTATCAGCCAAATCATTTTTATTCCCTTCAATATATTCTACCTCAAAAGTATAAGCAGAAAACCAACTTTGTCATCTAATTAATCTTTTAGTTGATAAAAACTCTACAGTTTTACCTTTAGTGGATGAAATTGCTTTTCTATTATCCGTTCTAATTAAAAGTTTCATTTTGGAATATTTCAAATTTTTTGATTGGTTTATTTATTGCTAATAAATCTTTTTCATTAGTATGATAACTTTGTAAAGTGGGGGTGTATGTTCCTGAACTATATCTACATATGAGTTCAATATTGTTACGCCTGGCTTTTAAAATTGCTCCCCATGCTATTTTAGAACTATCCGTTTCTATAATTAAATAATCTCCAGACATAGGCAAAAGTAATTTTGGAAGAATTTTACATAGTTCTTTGATTTGATATAGGGTTTTTTCGTCTTTCTCATCCCAATACCAAGATATATTCATTTTCAACTTCTTTTGTAGAGGGACTCTTAATTCTGCGAGAATTTTAACAAACGTTTATGCATAATTAATAAAACCTAGAAATCGCCGCAAATCATTCTAGTTATTTAATTTCTTAAAATGGTATATTTTTGTTAAGATATGTTTTTGTAATTCTATGAATCCTTTATCTATTATAAGTCCTATGAATTCAATAGTATTTGTTATAAAGACGACTTTTTTCTAAAGACTATCCCATGTTTTTGAGCTTTATGAGAGAACAAGATCAAATATTTCAAATGTTCAATAATGGTATTACTAAATATCAATATATCATCTACATATACGAGACAGAAATGTGATAAATTCTCGGAAAATAGTATCCATCCGTTTTGGATTATTTTTAGTGAATTTTTTAATTCGAAAGATATTACATTTCATTGACAGTGTCATTGTGGAGTACCAAATGCAATAAATTCTCTACAATTTGGATGCATCAATATCTGCCAAAATCTCGATTTATAGTCTAATTTAGAGAACCATTTGACTGTTTTAATATTATTAATTAATATTTCTTTGTTCGGTAAGAAGTAGCCATCAAATTTAGTGTTATCATTAAGTTTATTGTAAGTATTTACTAATCTTGCTTTTCCTCTAATTTGTTCGGCATGATTTCTTGCTAAGAAGTTTGGGCTACTATGTGGACTATTGCTTGGTTTGATTAATTTAAGATGTAATAATTCTTGCATTTGGACTTGAAATTCTTATTTATCTTCAGAAGTATACTTCATTGGTCTAACTCTTCTAATAAGTGTAGGGTTAATTGGATCAATTATAGCCGGAGGTTCATCTTATCTCCAAAATTGTAAAGGATTCTCAAAAAATGAACGAACTTGCAAAGGAACGAAGCTCAGTAAGTTTAGAATTTTCAGGAGATGTTATAACATTTATTCCTAGATGATTATTAAACAGATAAAAAAAATTCGTTTCCATATTTTGGTCAAGGTGGTAATCACCACGCTGGTTGCCAAAAATAGGTGTGGTGGACTGAGATTGCGGTGTTTTAATAACAAATGCTTGCTATTAAAATAATAACAACAATAATCATATTAATAATGCTATTTTTTATTGTTGTTGGTTTTTCCACAGTTGAGCTCTTCAAATGGATGCTCAAAATGTTTTCCATAATGATGATATACTAAAGTAATTATGCATGTATCCACCTCTAAATTTCATTGGTAAGCGGTGATACCTATGATTTGTCTACTAAACAAGTCGAGCCTTTTAAATCCTATTCAACATTTTTTTCAAAAATAGTCAACATGATTGGTCTCACTAGTCTAAAGTTGGTAGTTTGCTTTTCAACAAATTCATTAGTATTTTTTTCTTGCAAATGACCTCATTTATGTTGATGACATGATTATAACATAAATGATGTTAAGAGTACTACTGCACTCGAGCAGTTTTCCCACACCAAATTTCACATTAAGACCTTGAAAAGCTATGATAATGTTTGGATTGCTTATTCTACCATGTTGCTTTGATAACACATTCTAATTATACCCTATATATATCTTAGATGAATAACGAACTAATCTTTGCTTGTAGCCAAATCACTATTGGCTCCTTTGGAAGGGAATAATAGAATTCTTACCCACTACGAAAAACTTATTCAACAATCAATTTACCTATGAAATGTTGGACAAATGATCCATTTAATAAACTTACAAGATCAATGATAAGCTACTTAGCTCAAAAGTTAAGTTAGTTTATGTGAGAACCATACAGCCCCACCTAAAAATATTCATGTCTTTTGTGATATCTCTAGCAACTTAAATTTGTATGCAATAAAAATTCACCACAATTTTTTTTATTTGTTGTGGTATACTTTCTTGGGAGAGCTCTAATCTCATGAAAGTCCAAAAAAGAAATAAATATATATAGAACCGTGTCATGGCTTTCAGTAAGTGTGAACAACATACATAGTTCAGGTATCTATGAATGGCTAATGTGTAGGCAACTACAAAGCAACACTCCGCATTGTTTCCAACCTAGTTTACCATGAATTTGCCAATTATATAAATATCATTTGGCATATTGCTCATTAATGAAAATAATCTATTGCTATTGTGACTTCTCATATTCCATCAAAGCATTAGTTTAGTAAATTGTATACTAAACCACTAACTTTTCAGTCTTACATTCTCTTCTTAACAAGTCTAATATTCTCAATATGTGCTCCAACTTGAGAGGAAGTATTAGAAGGAAGCAATTAAGAACTACAACAACTATAATTAAGGGAATTGATTTGTTTGAATATATGAGATATTATTACTGAATTAATCTCAAATTCACAATCCTAGGATAGGCCAGAAGGATTTTAAATGCGTATACTACCTCCTGCAATTTGATTTCAAAAATTGAATATCAGAACTCTCCTGATTCCCGATTTTTCTAAAAGATAACAAAAGTATTAAGTAGTTCTCATTGTGAGAACATTTAGATAGTGTGCACATCAACTAATATATTTCATAACCTGAATTCATTACTTATGGAAGAAAATTGAGTAAATGATGCTTATTGATCTACTGCAAATTCATTTAGCAGATATTATCATTTTACAGAGCACATCCAGCTATTATTAGCACATTGCACACAACTGGGAGTAACACATGCACTGACACAAAAAAAATTCTATTTTTAAGTGACAGAAAAAAATATGTGCCCCAATTTAAGCTGAAACATCCTCAATTTTAGTATCAATTCAACAAAAAAAAGGCATTTATCCTCTCCAACTGTTTGTTATTTAGATTTCTATCGTATAAGAACACAGGATGTATAGATCACAACAGAAAAATTGAAAGCCAATATAACCCCAACATTCTCTCGTAAATAAATCCCACTCTGAAATCCCTAAAAGGATCAGGAAACTAATCCGATCACAATAAAAAAACAAACATAATCCCCAAAAAAGATAGAAAAGAAACATTAAAGCGAAGTGCATAAATATGATCAAGCTCCATTACTTGACTTGCTCATGTCTGTCATCCGACCTTCTTCTCCATTGCAATAACTCAACTG